GCAGTTTCTAACAAAGTTTCGGCACTTTCTCTCAACGTTTTATGACGTTACCTCATGTCAAAAGACGTGCACAACATGTTGAAGGCCACACGGCACCTTTTGTCGAACAGGGAAACCGTGTCATCATTTGACCGCCAGTCACATGATTCATTGATGTCACTGCACAGGCTCTAGGCCTCCTATAAGAAGGATATTTCTGACCGAATGGTTTTGTATGCTTCTTTGCAAATAATTTATCCAAGTTGAGCCTGGTCTGACACTATTCTCATTATTCATTTTTTTCTCCGGCTCAAATGCACACATCCCACGAGCATCCTCTGGATGGCAATTTTCTGGAACATCCTATAGTGAGCTACCGTCGGTCGGGCGCGCAAGCCTAATTCCTTCACTACGTAAACGACGGTCCGGCGCGCAAGAACGAAATTTCTTGTGTTTACACGAGGGTCGGTTACGCTGCACACGGTTCCATCAATCTGTACACGGCGGTCGTGTGCGCAAGGCCTTTTTTCATCACGCAGTTCACAACCATCGGGTAAATAATAATGATTCTTTTCACTGCGTACACGACGTTCGTGTAAATAACACCGGCCCCCTGTAAAAGAACCGTTGACGGTAACCTCGCGTATAATGAGACTCGGCTGCTGTTGGCCTGTTAGTCTTATTCCATTGATGCCTTTCCTACTCCCGTTGGCTCCAACTATGTCCATCAGGGGTCGGCAACCTCTGGAATATTGTGTGCCAGTTTATGATTAATGCCTTTTTATTAGTAACCTTGTGTGCCAGTTTATAATTAATGCCTTCTTATCAATAACCTTATGTGCCAGTTTTTTCAGCACTATATACCCAAGTGTATTTTCCTGTACATGTATAATATATATGCAATATTTGTGTAGCATTTAGTATTCTTTGTAACAAAACAAACATATGTTTCATAATTTTCGATATACACTCACCGTATTAATATCTAGACACACCGAAGTAAAGCTGTTGCGATGGGGGCTGAGGGTACGACCATAATGAGACTCACTCACTCATTCTCTCTCTCTCTCTCTCATATATTATTTTGCTTTTTAACTTTTTTTCCTTGCTCATCTGAATCACCTGTGCTCTGCGTGCCAAGTCTGGCACTGGCGCCAAAGGTTGCCGACCTCTGATGTAGATATATGTATGTTTGTATACATACATGCATATCTAAACATATATATATATGTATATATACTATATATATACATATATATGTATATATACATTTATATACATGTATATATGCATATATATATATATATATATAATATATATATATATATATATATATGTGTGTGTGTGTGTGTGTGTGTGTGTGTGTGTGTGTGTGTATATATATATATATATATGTATATATATGTATATATATATAGACACATGCATTATTTGCGTTTTAATCTTGTGACCCATTTTCAAGTTTTCTGTAAAAAAAAAAAAAAAAAAAAAATACTCCAAAGGGGCTTTTTCAAAATCACATTCTTCTGTCTCCTTATTTCACGACTCTCTTACTGGCGCCGTCTCGAATGCCACTACAGTCAACGGCCACACTGAAAGGTTTGTCCCGTCTGCGCCCTACCATTTCTCCCCGGTTAGAATCACTGCTGTGATCTGCAGGATTGCATATGCAAACATGTACTTCATAGATGTGTCCGAGTCTGTTTAACCTATTTATGAGTCCCATCGGATCATCATAACTGAATGTTTATCGTGTTGGCCGGTTTGGTAACAGGAGTTCCAGCAAGAGACAGACGCAGCCCCTCCACCGGTATTGGTCGTTGGGCCTTATCTATGGAAGCGAGCCTGTCAGCAAAGGGTTTTCGGTGACGTCCGGTGCGCCAGAGACACAGGTAGGGTTGCCAGGTCTTGTATGCTGATGTCATCCTTTGAAGTTTTCTGCGTACATGAGTGATTTACAGCCAAACGTGTTAGGATGCTGAGAGCTAATGGATGCAAATTTCATTACTTCAAGAAAACGTAAAAAAAAAGTAGTCATGGTTGTAAAGTAGACCAAGGGAGTCTCAAGATTAGAGGCATTTCTGCACAAGAACAAAGATAGGTCTTTGATATCAAGAACTTCAGGGAAAGGCCAAAGAATATCAAATACTGTAAGCCAAAATTTTGTCAGCTGGTATCACCATTGCCAAAATCAGTAATTTTTCAGGGCCAAACTGCCGAATAGTATTTTTGCAATAACAAATGGTAATATGGCACTGCAAAATCCCGGTTGGAAACTCCAATTACAATATTATGAAGACCCTTTCCCGTGATCCCCATAGCTGTAGCCTTCGTATCACTAACCAGTCAGAGGGCGGGCAGTAAACGCCCCTCCATTTCCATTGGCTGAGTGAAACCGCGAGGCCCATTGTACACCGCGCGCCGCGATAAAAGCAGGCTGTGCATCGTAAAGTCGTTAGATTGCCTCCCACTGCTCAGCCAGCTTGTTCCTCATCACAGAAACGTATGTTGAGGGGCAAGGTATTTACGTGACGTGCTCGGATTTATAGACGTTTGTACTAGTGTCCAAAAGCGCCTTTAACATCTAATAACTGTCGAAACAGAGAGCACTTTGTACGTGTGAAGTGATGGATGTGATGGAAACTCAGCAAGGAAATTCAAATTACTAATATTTTAGAAATAATAAAAGAGATAGTTTTATGTATCAACAGAAAAATGGAATCTCATCTGTTTCGTTAAAAATATTTAGTTTTCATTTTACATAAGGTTTATTTTTCAAATATTGTAATGGCAGTATTTTATTCACAAATCAGATCTCAATCAGATTTTTTTTCAATTCTCTGCATTCATTTTTATCATTATTAATGATTAATTCTTTCTCATCATCATCATCATGACTATTATTATCATTATCATTGTCATTGTGATTTTTGTTTTGTTATCTGTATTATCATTGATATAATTTCACTATTATTATCATTATCAGCATTACAATTGTCATTGTCATTATAACAGTCATCATCATCATCATAATCATAATCACTATTATCATCACTGTCTTGACCATTGACTATTTTGGTATTGATGTTATTTTTATTATCATTATCATGACCTTAATATTTTTTATCATTGATATGACTATGATTACATTATCATAATCAGTAGTAGTAGTAGTCGTTGCATAGTCATCATCGCCATATTCACAAAGAATGGTTGAAGAACAAGTAAATATTATATGATCTATTTCTTATGATTTCAGAAAGACTTTACAAGGAAACCAAATCATGGTCTGCAGTATCAGTATTAAGGAGACGGAAGTGAGCTGATCACTAAGAGAAATAATTGTCTACTGGATAGAAAAAATATCGAACTCAGTAAGTGATGTTTTGCTTATGATCTGAGTCGCCTTGGAATGAAAATAAAGATAATATTAAGGTGAAATTCGACGAGACTGTAAAAGCAAGATAAATATATGTGACAATAGATGAAATGACAACAGATACGAAGCAGATTCCCGCCAACCGAACACGCGCGATGCGACTGAAACCTCTCTTCTCTGTCCTGGCCTTCCTGCTCGTCGCCCACGCTAAGGAGGAAGGCACGCCCATTTTGAAACACGTCAGCCACATGACAGAAAAGGAACTCAGTCAGCACGTGAGAAAGGTCCAGCTGACGCCTCCCATGGGCACGTCGACATACCACCTGTCCCGCCTCGTGGCTGACGAGAATCGGGCGGCGACCAGGTTGAAGACTCTCGCAAACGTCATGTTCACCGCCCTCGACGTGACCAATAGGTGATTTGCCTGTTAACTGTTTTGCTCTTTTAGTCTCCATGCAAACGGATGATAATGTTTTTAAAAATGTATTAGATAATTCCTAGAGAGCCAGTTATAAATGATAACAATTTCAGTTTACTTTCACAGGGAAACGAAATGTTCCGCAGGTCGGCTTACTGCAAACACGAAAAGCATAATTAAACAGCAGTAATTTCCAGACGATGCACTTCCACCAGCGTGCGTCTGTGACGGTGTCATATACGGCATGATGAGGTTGCATCGGTTACGGCGTGTTATAATGTTAAATCTACCGCTCTAGCAGGTCGTGTCATCACACGAATCGGTTCACGTGTGAGCTGATCAAAGTTTCTCGTGACGAGGGCGTAGCCAGGATTTTAGAAGGGGGAGGGAGGGAGGGAGGGGGGGTCAATGCTTTCAAAGAGAGAGGTTCGGTCATGCTTTTCTCGTGTATCTAGCATGACTGATTTGTTTATGTTGGCGTTATGCCACTGACTCATATGTGTCATATGTCACTAGCGAACTGCTTAGTATCTAGTGATGAATCAACAAAGTGAATCTTAAGGGAGGTACATACCCCATACCCCCACCTTTCTGGTTACAGTACTGATTTAAATGCGAATGTTAACTGTTTCACTGTGGCATCCAGTTTATAGTTGATTCATAGATTTACTATCAAATGTGATGGAAAAAGTAACGATATCCTTGGAGTGCTATCGAATATTAATATGTTCAGTAGAATGGAAGACAATCGGGCGGTTTGTTAGAACTGTGCCCGAGCCAAAGAATGTTCGTATATTCAGACATGCATATACACGGAAGTAAGTGCATATATGTCTATCTATAAGATGCATATGCATTTTTGTCTCTATCTATACGGTAGATATTCATGAGTAGACAGAAAGATACGTATTTTTCCAGAGCATATGTATATCCGCGTAATGAATGTTCATTAGGTCGGGTTTCGCACAATCTTTAACAAACCTTCCGATTGTCTCGCAATAGTACGTTATAGTGCTCACTGGAAAAAAGTCAAACGATCTTTTTATTCATAGCATTTTCATTTCAATCGCGCGCGCCTTCCGGAATTCTTGCCCTTGTCATTATTCGCTTGAGGCCCGTACTTTTAAAACCTTCGCCAGTGCTGGGGTTCGCCTGGCGAAGCTACGCCAGGCGAACCTCTGAGTGAGGGAGGCCTTACTTTTAAACCCAACGTTCGCCAGGGCGCTAACATCTTGCATTCTCGCTAAATCTAGCGCAAATTTGTTTACATCTGCAGTGCACATAACATAACCTAAACTTAATTATTAACCTCGAGAGAAGACGAAAATGTTGTTTCCGCAATAGTATCACTTCATACTATAACAAAGGAGTTAAATTTTAACTTTATGATATAACAAAGTTGAAAATATCTTTATACTATAACAAAATTAACTTTATACTTTATGCTATACTACACTTTATACTATAACAAGGTTAACTATATGGCCCGTACTTTTAAAACCTTTTGCTTTTTCTCGCGTTTTTTTCATTCGCCGAAGCGCTAGATTTAGCAGGAATCCAAGATGTTAGCGCCTGGCGATCCCTTTCGTTCGCCAGGCCTGGCGAACACCTGCCTTGGTTTTAAAAGCAAGGCCTCCCTCACTCAGATGTTCGCCAGGCGAACGCCAGCATTGGCGAAAGGTTTTAAAAGTACTTTATACTATACTATATCAACTTTACACTTTTATACAAAAAATAACTTTATACTTTAACAGAAGAGTTTAAAGATTACTATTTTACTATTCCTAACTGATATAAGATATTGAACTGTAGGCCTACAAGGGTATCATTAGAAACGCCTCATTATAGGGCGATGGAGCACTACAGCTGTTTCTACAGCCAAAAGTAAACATGCCGCCATAAAAAACACTTCAGGTAACATTTGTGAAAAGAACATTATCCTTTACAACCAAAATAACAACAACCTAAATCTAAATAAGTCATCTCGGGGGTGGGTGGTAGGGGTAGGGGGAAGGAATACAGCTGATGTCTTGAGCTCTCGACTGGAACATCGAAGGCCTTGAAAAAAAATACGTATATACGTTATTTCATAATATATTATGATTTTAAGATATTTTAGAATTTCAATGTGATTCCTGCATCATATCATACACAAATGTGTTACTAATTTATAACTTGAAAGCAAGAAAATGGTATTCAAACAGCTCTCGTGCCTTTGCTTCGCCAGGCAGTTCCAATATGATCTTTCGCCAGCCCTGGCGAAAGGTTTTAAAAGTACGGGCCTGAAACTTTCGATTCTTCAGGTACTTGTCGTCCTGGGAGGAGCTCGTGGGCGCGGGCGTGGAAGCAGAAGGCTTCGCGAGCCATCCCCTGCACGCCTACGCCCTCACCAAGCACGTGAGTCTGGGCTGGCCGCACGTGGAGGCTTCCTTACGTGCTCTGAGCCACCTTTCGCAAGACTTGGGTGAGTTTGAAGGGGAATGGGCATGAGATTATCATTTTTTTTTTTTTTTTTTTTTGTCAAGGCTGTTGGTTTTGGGCTTAGCATTATAATCATAACTGTATAGACAACGTCATTGCGATTTCAGCTTTAACGCCATCGCAGTTGTCCTTATGATGACAACCTCATCACAGTCGCTTCGATCTTTGAACAGAATGGCTGTTGTCCCGCTGTGGTCTTCGTATAAATATAATTTATATCAAGGTGATTTCTGTGGCGATCACTGTTGTGTTATTTCGTCTACTTTTCCATACGTAATAAGATGATCGATTCCTACATCTCCCAGAGTGGCTGTTGTCCCGGAGCGAGAAGCGCGGCGTTCCCACGGGCGAGGACCTGGCCACGGTCGCGGGCGGGATGGCCAGGCTGCACGACTACTACAGCCTCAACCTCTCCGCCCTCGCCCACGCCCAGCTCGTCTCGGCGATCGACGCCCGCCCGGTCGCCGCAAAGATCGCGCCGACAGGTTGTCTTGTTCGCTATTTCTTTCTCTGTCAGCATTGAAGTCTAATTTCTTTTTTCCTGATCAAACAAGAATTTTCTGCTTTACGACAATATTTTTCTTCTTTCCTTTATTTTCTTACCGACTTTCGCGTTCGAATATGATTTCATATCAGGAATGATTTCATATTTGTTGATACTTGCGTGTCTCATTATGACAGCGCTCGACCTGCACCGCATCGGCTCCGCTGCCGTGTCACACAACGTCCTGAACTCCGGCGTGGACTTCCTGCGGGCCGCCCTGGACCGCTGGGACGGCAACGCCTCCTCCGCCAGGAGTTCGGACACCTTCGACGCCCATCGGGAGCTGCGACAAATTGACCTGTCTTTCAGGAGAGCCGTTAAAATAGTTAGTATCGGAAGATCATACCTTCAGGATTTTTTCGTATGTTTTATTGATGTAATCTTGCAGGTGTATTAACGTTAAACATATTTAGCTACATTTCTTTTAGTTGTTTGTCCAAATAACTCGCCCTCTGGCCGTGTACCACACCATAACGGGAATCTGAAGTGGAACGTCATAAACACGAACTTTCTAACATAACATGACTTTCTCATATAAAAAACGCATCTGAAATCAGTTCAGCAATATTATCACCGCCCCCTCCCCCCTCCCCCTCCACCTCATTTCCCGATCTTAATCAACCTTTCTTATTAACTTAGCCTATATTTATGTCTCTTCCTGAAGCATGACCAGGTTTTAGAGAAGAAAGGTCCGCGGTCCGACCTTCACAGCACCTACATGAGACCCTTTAACAAGACATTAGCGAGGAAGAAGAAGTACCACAAGAAAGAGGAACTTGTCTTGGGCGTGAAGGGAAGCAAGGGGCAGGGAATGAAGCAGTATCTTCGTTTGTGTCGCGGTGAGGATCTGCGGGTGAGTGTGGTGGACGTTGAGCGCACACACACGCGCACGCACGCACGCACGCACGCACGCACGCACGCACGCACACGCACGCACACACGCACGCACGCACGCACGCACACACACACACACACACACACACACACACACACACACACACACACACACACACACACACACACACACACACACACCTGTTTACTCGGTGCCTTGTTTGCGCTTTGGTCTTGTGACCCATTTTCAAGCATCCCGCACAAAATTACATCAAAAGGGCCTTTACAGCATCTCATACTCTTGTTTCCTCATCTCTTTATGCTGCTACAGGGAACGCCCACTTTGGAAGCGTTTCTACCTCTGGTCCCTGCCATTCCCACACTCGTATATTTGTACGTATCTAAACCTCGGTCCTTCCCGCAGCCAGTCTCTCCCGCCTGGAGAGAGAGAGAGAGAGAGAGAGAGAGAGAGAGAGAGAGAGAGAGAGAGAGAGAAGAGAGAGAGAGAGAGAGAGAAGAGAGAGAGAGAGAGAGAGGAGGGAGGAAGGAGGAAGGAGGAACGGAGAGAAAGAGACACAGCGTGTCGTATCTAAACCTCGGCATCCTTCCCGGCAGCCAGTCTCCACAACCTCCCGCCTGTCCTGCCGCTACGTGACCAACGGCTCGCCGCTCTACAGGATCGGGCCGCTGAGGATGGAGGTCCTGTCGCTGGACCCGTACGTGGTGACGCTGGAGGAGGTGGTGACGCCCTCCGAGTCCGCCGACCTGGTCCTCGCCAGCGCTGGGTACTTGACCAGGTCCTCCACCGTGAGGGCGAACGGCAGCTCCGCAGAGGATTTCAAAAGGACCAGTTCCACGTAAGACACACATGCAGAGAGAGAGAGAAAGAAAGAAAGGAAGAAAGAGAGAAGAGAGAGAGAGAGGAGAAGAAAGAGAAAGAGAGAGAGAGAAGAGAGAAAGAGAGAGAGCGAGACAGAGAGAGAGGAGAAAAGGAGACAGAGAAAGTGGAACATCGATGTAATGGCAATGTAAATAGACAGATGTTCACGACCCCATTATCCTACAGAGCCTGGATGCTGGACAAGGACATCCCCATCCTGCCTGTCCTAACGAAACGCATTGAACAGGCGGTGGGAGTGAACGCTCAGCTCTTCGACGGAGCGGAAATATACCAGGTGATCCAGCGGTGTTGTGGAAAGTGAATGTGAGGGAGAGGGAGAGGTGAAGGGAGTGAGTGAGAGGAGAGTGAGTGAGTGAGAGAGAGGGAGAGTGAGTGAGAGAGAGAGAGAGAGAGTGAGGGTGAGAGAATGAGAGAGAGAGAGAGTGAGTGAGAGAGAGAGAGAGAGGAAAAAGAGAAACCATGAACTTCAGACTTTGAAAATTTGACTCGCGTTCCCTGCAAAAAGCCAAGAAAAGTATGTTAAAGATTTTATTGATATAAAAGAGCCTTTAGTCATTCCTGTTCCTTGACCTATAATGATCACTTTTAATTAATTCTAGTTGGCAAAAATACTCATATATCACTCTCAATTCACAAATCCAAACAAGACAGTCGAGTAAAACAATTCATTCAAAAGAATTAGATAAATCGACGGACAACGAGCCTAAAACTAAAGTAAGACTCCATATATAAATACTGTTATTTTTGTAAACTTATTTCACCTCAACACTGGCGTTTCTTCCCCTGTGTCAGATACTGAATTATGGCGTGGGAGGACACTACACTGTTCACCATGACGCTTTCGTGTATCCTCGCATGGCAACGTTTCTCATATATCTGACAACCGTTCCACAAGGTAACTTTGCTCTCAATTACATTATTACGTAAAGTTAGCTGTAACGTTGACATGAATGTGTATTATTTCTGCCGTTTCTGTTATGCCTGCTTTTCAATAGATTTTTTTTCTATTTTCACTCGCAGAGACGTGACGCACGTAAATCTGTATAACCTAATTTGATTAACATGTCGGATGCCGTTGACGGTAACGTACACCCAATTTCCTATAGGTGGGCGCACGGTGTTCCCCTGGGTAGGCGCGGGCGTGCAACCCAAGCGTGGTTCGGCGCTCCTCTGGTTCAACATGGACCGCGCGGGAAAACCGGACTCACGACTGCAACATGGCGCCTGCCCGGTCCTCTTGGGAGACAAATGGGGTGAGCGCTTTCACGTCACTTTTTCTCAAGGCTGTTAGAGGCCAGGGTGACAGTGCATTTTCTTTTCGTGGATTAAGGATGCAGCTGCAATCAGCTCTAGAATTTGGCATTTACTTAGATATTTCATGTGTGTATGTATATGTATATATATATATATCACACACACACACACACACACACACACACACACACACACACACACACACACACACACACACACACACACACACACACACACACACACACACACACACATGTGTGTGTGTGTGTGTGTGTGTGTGTGTGTGTGTGTGTGTGTAAGGCAATCTGACGACCGGCACAGGTCATTATAACGATAACATCGTATTAACAATACACGTCATGACTTGACCATTGGCAATCGATGCATGATAAAGCATATAAAGTGTATTATTATGATGCATATATTTTGATAAGCTGAACAGTATTATTAAAACGTATATTATATAGATAAGCTGAAATATAAACATAAAAGCAGTCGGTGAATAAACTGCATGTATTTATTTCAGTGATTAACAAATGGCTGTACTACACGGGGCAGCAGAAGACCCTGCCTTGTATCCCTGGCAACCCCGGGGCCACGGTCAGCCAGCCGCTGTACTGAATGCTGTATTCGCTTTAAAAAAAATCACAACAGCAACTGTGATATCGTCTGATTCTTCCAATCCTCTGTAAACCTATTTAAGTAATCATTAAAATATACAAGAAACCAGATTTTGTTTTTCCTCGAATAAAAAGTAGGGTACATATTTTTTGCATCTGCGTTACTGCGAGAATCTGTCATATTGACGCAAAATGACTATCTATCATCTAGTGTTAACCAAGGCATATAATAGCAAGATTTACGCTTGCTTGTAATTCCCAACAGTGTTAAACCGCAAGTGGGAGGAACCGCACTGTTGGTTTTCCTCGTAAATTTCCAAACGATGGTCAGCACACGCATATACAGACGTACATATACACATATCCGCACACACACTTGTACACCGTACATATACACATCCGCGCGCACGCACGCTCGCACGCACACACACACACATACACACACAACACAAACACAAACACTTACACACACGCACACGCATAATACAAATAAACGCACGCGGGCTCATATACGCATACACACATGCAGCACGCACATATACAGACGTGCATATACACATATCCGCGAACACACACACAAACACAAACTTACACACACGCACACGCATACATACAAATATACGCACGCGCGCTCATATACGCACACACACATACATACACGCGCGCATGAAGTCAGTGACTCCGCAAATTTCAGCCGAGAAGGCATATGGCGCCGGGTAAGTCTTTATGGACCAGCAAGTTCTCATTGGCCGACCGCAGAACCCGTTAAGACAGCGACGCGAACTGAACTTTGCGTCGCGTAGTACTTCTGAGCCGCATAGTACTTCGCTTGCTCTTCGTCGCGCAGTGCACCGCGGATCTTTGCACCTTTTTCTAGCCTAAATTTTTGCATTGTTCATCCTGAGGGTTTTGATTTACCCAAAAAAGAAAGAACAAAAGAGAAATGAATGACAACTTACGATAACGGAAGAACCACATGCGGATTTTCTGACCCCTTTCGCCTGAAAACACTCAGAATGAATTTTCGTCTGGCATGGCAGTTCGTGTTAGTACTGGTGATCCGCGTATCTTCTGGAAGGATACCTGAAGAAACTCGACACCTGAGGAAGGCTCAGTACACGCCGCCCTTGAGTACTTCGACTTACCACCTCTCATACCTCGCGAGGGATGAGATTCGCGCGACGGCCAAATTGCAGGACCTGGCCGAGGCCTTGTCCGCTGCTCTCGACGTGCTCAACAGGTAGGTTCACTGTACGTTGTCATGCGCATTCAGATGTAGAGTGAAATATGCCAAATCATGAAACTGGCAAAAATGTTTTAGGTTCTGTCTCATCTATTTATTGATTGATTTTTTTTTTCTGCCGCGTCAACAATCAAGGTTATAGCGGCGTATTCAAAATGTAGTGATAGGGTGAGGTTTGGGGCTGAGCTCCAGGCAAGGAAATGTCATTGTGGTAAAAAAAATGATAGTTGACGATTAGGGCAAAATGTGTTACATGTCAAAGGTTGTAGAACACTGCAGGTTAGTATGGTAGTGAAGAGGGAAGGGCAAACTTAGTACGTAGGCCGTTCAGGAGGGACACAAAGCTAGCTTTCTTCAGCAGGACTCACACTTTAGGAAGTGGAAAAAAGGGGGATGAAGACGAGAAGGAGAAGGAAAGAGGAAGAAGAATAGCATGCAAAATGAGTTTAGGCGAGGGCTGAGGCTCAAGGCCCTACAGTGGGCCTGTCTCCGTCTCTTAAGCCCTCAGCGACAACAATGAGCAAGGGATTGGGGGATCTGTCTAATCTACAATACTCCACAAAATAGATTCTATGAAATCCCTCATCCTCCTCTTATCGTTGCTATAACTCTCCGTCATTTATTTAATTCTGTCAATCCTCATTCCCTGTTCTGTTCTCCTTCCTAAAGGTAATTCTCATCACCCTTGTTAATCCTGTTCTTGAACCTTTACCAGTCCTCATCTTTCGAAATATTTCAGATACTTGTCGTCCTGGGAGGAGCTCGTGGGCGCGGGCGTGGAGGCAGAAGGCTTCGCGAGCCATCCCCTGCACGCCTACGCCCTCACCAAGCACGTGAGTCTGGGCTGGCCGCACGTGGAGGCTTCCTTACGTGCTCTCAGTAACCGCTCCCAAGCTATAGGTACGTAAAGGACGTTTAATGCACGTGGAGTTGGGGTTTGAGTTCACGAATGTGGCTGTTGGTTCACATATTTATCGTAATGCAAGGCACCATTTTTAAACCAGGTGACATAGACCATATGGCAATGACTAGCTGCGAATAGAAAGCGAGAGTTATTAAATACTTCATACTATACTTCAATTCGTCATTGTATTAACCAACACGTTAAATTAAAGGAATTCGAAATATGATTAAGAAATTCCCATTTTCTTCTTCCGGGGCCGGGTCCCTAGTGGTCTAAGGGAGAAAGCAGCTTCGATCATTAGACGTTTAAAAAACAGCAATATGAAGGAGGAAGGAAACATTATAAGAAGAGAATAATGGACTTAAGGAAAAGAGAAGAGGAAGGAGTTAATGTTATTGCTTATATACATAGCTGTGCTTATGTTTGTCTAATAATATGACTTACGTTGTCTAGATATATCTTCAAATCTTCAGCTACATCCGCCTCTCTACTAGAGCCTCTGTCTCTCCCTTTATCTTCCCAACCGTCTCTTTACTTTGGACAGACTTTCTCCTGGGGCGCACGAGGACCCGGGGCGTCCCCACGGGCGAGGACCTGGCCACGGTGGCGGGCGGGTTGGCCAGGCTGCACGACTACTACAGCCTCAACCTCACCGCCCTCGCCCACGCCCAGCTCGTCTCGGCGATCGACGCCCACCCGGTCCCCGTTGGAATCACGCCCACAGGTTGCATTCTGCGCGCCAAAGAGATTGTTTCAGTGATCGTAGATTGAATAGCAGTGGCTTTATAGGTGATGCTTCCTAAATCAAAACTCAAAAATGTATTAGTTTAAAATTATCGTTAATTCGCAAAGTAACCATAAGCATCTGCTGAAACGGCGAGATCGATTACGTCTGACTGCCTGTCATTACAATTTGGCACTGGCCTAAAAGTTCATTCAACCGCTGTAGCTTCAGCGATCTTCTCTCTCTTTTTTTTGTCCAGTGGTTAGGCCTTTGCTCTGATTATTACTAATGATGATAGTACCATTATTTCATATCATTGTCATTGCTACTGTTAAACTGAATATTCTACTCATCAGTCCGTTGGTATCTTTTTCGCCCTTCAGCGCTCGACCTGCACCGCATCGGCTCCGCTGCCGTGTCTCACAACGTCCTGAACTCCGGCGTGGACTTCCTGCGGGCCGCCCTGGACCGCTGGGACGGCAACGCCTCCTCCGCCAGGAGCTTAGATGTTTTTGACGCGCGCGTAGATCTTGACGACGTTGTGAAGACCTTCAAGAAAGCCACGAAAATTGTAGGTTTGACAAAGTTAATAGCAGGATATAGGAGAAGATGCAGTTCCTATATTTGGTGATGTGCTTTTATTATTAGATATTCGCGCCAGAATCAAATACCTGGAAAAGAGCAATAGAATTAGCATTCCAGTTATCACCACGCATTTACTCCATTGCAGCACGACCAGCTCCTCGAGAAGAAGGGCTCTCGCTCCAAACTGCACAGCACACACGCCTCGCCCCTCAACAAGACGCTGGCGAGGAAGAAGAAGTACCACAAGAAAGAGGAGGTCCACCTTGGCAACCTCGGGGCCGAAACGCAGGGCATGAAGCAGTATTTGCGTCTGTGTCGTGGCGAGGATCTCAGGGTAAGTAACAGGGACACAGACACACTCACGCACTCAAAATAAAAGGCTTAGACACAAACGCACTGCAAAAAATGGCAAACAAAATGGAAAGGGTACAGAGGAAAAAACAAAACAAAAAAAAAAAAACAAATTTACACAGTTATAAAAAATTATGGATCCGAAAAAGACATTACCACCAATTAACATAGAGAAAACACTAACCACAACTTCACATTAATATCACGATCCACTAACTCAGACACTCCTCTTCCTTTCCTCCTCCTCCTACTACTACTTCCTGTTCCTCCTCTCTCTCTCTCTTCCTCCTCTCCTCCTCTTCCTACTCCTTATTCATCCTCATCATCTTCCATAACCAGTCACTTTTGGTACAAGTGAATATTAGTAACAATGATGAAAATAAAGTTGATGATAAGATTAGTAATGTTATCGCACTAGTTAGCATGTAGGTTCCACATAATAACAATGGTTAATTAACGAAGTCGATGATAAGTACGTAATATTAGGTATGCATTACCTCAGTTGTTCTAACTGTATAAGAAAGAGAGAGGTTGTAGAGTTAGCAAACTGAAATGAGCTGAGTCTGGTGTAGAGAATCTACCGGGATGATTACAGTAGAGAGAGAGGAGAGAGAGATAGAGAGGAGAGGAAGGCAGTTTAGATGAGAGAGAGAGAGAGAGAGAGAGGGAGAGGAAGAGAGAGAGGGAGAGGGAGAGAGAGGAGAAAGAGGAGAGAGAGGAGAGGGAGAGGGAGAGAGAGAGAGAGAGAGAGAGAGAGGAGGGGAGGGAGGAAGGAGGAGGAAG